CAAAGCCAGTGTGGACAAGGAAAGTCTATGAGACTTTTTTTTTTTTAATAATTGGTTTTAAATTTTTAATGTTTTTAGTGAGGAAAAAGTCATAGATTGGAAAGTATCTTTTAAATCAACAGACCCAACATATAAACAATCAAGTTTAAAAACTACAGTAAACGGGCTGGGAAGATGGCTCAGTGGTACAGTGCTTGCCTTGCATGCCTGAGGCCCTGGGTTCGATTACTCAGCACCACATAAGCAAAAAAAAGAAAAAAAGCCGGAAGTGGCACTGTGGCTCAAGTGTTAGAGCGCATTGAGCTGAAGAGCTGAGGGACAGCGCCCAGGCCCAGAGTTCAGGTACCCCATGACTGGACCCCTCCCCCCCCCCCCCAAAAAAAAAAAAAACTACAGTAAAGCCATTTTGGCTCAGCATTCCTTTCTCCTTTATTTATTCAAGATCCATTAATTATACTATTTGAATGTAAGCAAATGTGTATGAACCTTGAACTACAACTCATCTAGTCGTACCACCAACTTGAAATTTCTTTTCTTACATTAACAATAAATGTAATAGAGCAATAAATAGGATTGAGGACAAAAATTATACAGTTATCTCAATTGATGTTAGACTCCTTTTTTTTTTGTCAGTCATGGGACTTGAACCCTGGGCCTGGACACTGTCCCTCAGCTCTTCAGCTCAAGGCTAGTGCTCTACCATTTGAGCCACTGTGCCACTTCCTTTTTTTTTTTTTTTTTTCTGGTGGTTTATTGGAAATAAGAGTTTCACAGCTTTTCCTGCCTGGGCTGGCTTTGGACCTTCACCCTCAGATCTTAACCTCTTTAGTAGCTAGGATTATAGGTGTGAGTCACCAGTGCCCAGCTCTGTGAGACTCTTATCTCCAATTAGCCACCAGAAAACCAGAAGTGGTGCTGTGGCTCAAGTGGTAGAGTGCTAGCCTTGAGCTGAAGAGCTGAGGGACAGCACCTAGGCCCAGAGTTCAAGCCACACGACCAACAAAAAGAACACAAAGCAAAACAAAAAATGACTTTAGTTTTAAGATTACATACATAATAATCTGTTGAATATTCTTTTTAACAACTCTAATATAAAAGAAAAAAACAACTTAAGGTTAGGCATGATAGTACATGACTGTACTCAGCACTAAGTGGTCTTAAAGAGGCTGGAGCGTTTGAGGCTAGCATAGATTACAATTCTCAAAACAAAATAAAAACCTCGAAACTACCAGGCACTGGTGGCTCATGCCTGTAATCCCAGCTACTCAAGAGACTGAGATCTGAGGATCATGGTTCAAGGACAGCCTGGGCAGGAAAGTCTGTGAGACTCTTCATCTCCAATTAACCACCAGAAAAGCAGAACTGGAGCTATGGCTTAAAGTGGTGTAGTGTGCTAGCCTTGAGTGAAAGCACAGAGACAGCAGTGCCCAGGCCCTGAGTTCAAAACCCATGACAAACAAAAACCCCGGAACCCTTGGGCCATACAAAAAATGAGTAGTTTGTCAAACTTTAATTTAGGAAGTTTTGGCATATGAGAGTATACTTTTCTTTTTCTTTCTTTTTGTTGTTGTTGGTGGTGGTCATGGGTATTCTCCCTCAGCTCTTCTAGCACTATACCACTTGAGCCACAGTGCCACGTCAGGCCTTTTCTGCTTGCGTGATGCTGAGGAATGGAACCCAGGGCCTCATGCATGCAAGGCAAGCACTCTACTAATAAGCCACTTTCCCAGCCCTACTTTTCTTACTGTTGGCACTTACATGCCATTTTAGTCAATGGTGTCCTCTTCTGTGGAGCATCCAATTTAGTTAATGTAAATTTATTTAATGAAAATCCTCAGTTGTTGTACTTGGATTCACAGAAAAGAGAGAGATGTCATAGAATATACATCATTCTATTTGCATTGGCTGTTTTTTTTTTTTGGTCAGTTGTGGAGCTTGAACCCTGGGCCTGGGTGCTGTCCCTGAGTTCTTCAGCTCAAGGTGAACGCTCTACCACAGCACCACTTCCTGTTTTCTGGTGGTTTATTGGAGATGAGAGTCTCATGGACTTTTCTGCCTGGGCTGGCTTTGACCCACGATCCTCAGACCTCAGCCTCCTGAGTAGCTAGGATTACAAGCCTGAGTCACCAGCACCCAGTCTGCCTTGGCTTTTGACATAGGCTGGAATAGGCTCTGTCTTGAGGCCCTAAAACGATACTTGTGATGTGTTAAAGAAAGTTGTCACTTACCTCGTTTACTTGTTTACCTTGTAAACATTTGCTTCATTTCTAGGTTCCCGGGGGGCTTTCTGTGAAGTGAGACCAGATGATAAAAGAATCCTTGAATTTTACAGCAAGTTGGGCTGTTTTGAAATTGCAAAAATGGAAGGCTTTCCAAAGGATGTGGTTATACTTGGCCGTAGCCTGTGACATTTGTCAGCATTGGAAGCTGTTCAAAAGTCTTTTACCTCCACCTTGTGATTGGTGTTGGGGTCATCATAACAGTTCATCTTCCTGAGTGTCAACAAATCAGCCAATTGAATTGGAAACAAAGAAAATTACACACTTTCAGACTACTCACTGGTTGGAAGAAGATAGTATTGCACAAATCCTGTGTGAAATGGATGTTGGGCCCTCTTTTGGGTCTTGTGTCTTGTTAGGTGCCAGGACCTCTTACATGGGCTTATATAGGGAAAAGGGTCTTCAATAAATGTAGTCAGCACTACTCTGTGCATCCAGTGTGGTTGCATTTCTCACCTAACAGTAATCAGAATCACTTTGTCATTCTTTAGAGACATGGCAGTGCTGAGAAAGACTTAGTAGGTTTCAAGGCTTCAGGGTGGATTTTCCAAGTAAGATGGTTGTGGCATTAGTTTAAATTTTTAGTTTGGGGCAGGTACTCTGTTTGTTTTTTTTTTTTAAGTCATGGCCAATTATCTTTCTGTAGTAATAACCATTGGTTCAAGCATGTGCTTTGTAGGGACAAATGTGCAGTTGTTTGTGGCGAAAGCCTAAAATCAACAAACGTATAGATTTATTTGTATATAAGTTGTAGTCTATCTTTTCTGTTTACTGTTTTGAAATACTTTTTTCCTTTCAAGATTGAAAGGTATTGGTTTAGGATGGCACTTTGAATAATAATCAGTGGAAGGTAGATTTTCTTTTTATCTTTTTTATTCTGCTAATAAGCTTTATTTTTTTTTAAGTGCCTCCCATATAGGGCTAGGCCATGACCATTTTGGGTATGAGAGCCTAACTTCATAGGATGCTGATCTGTTGCAAAGTGGATTCACTTCTGAAAATTAACAGATCAGCATGTGAAATGTTAGTTTTGACATCTTTGTCGGGAGGGTAAAGGGGCTGGGCGGTCTCATTTGCCCTTTGATCAGCTGTCATTTGATGTCAGTTACTACTGGTTTAACTGATGGTCTTTAATTCTTGCATGTTTGTATCTAATTTTTTAAATGAAGAAATGAGTACACTAATCAATGATTTATGGTTACCATTATTCCTTTAATCACAGATTTTGAAAGCTTCATGTATTTTAATTTAGCGTGGTGTTTTTAAGGGTTCTGAGCATGAGGCTGGCCGGTAATCTGCAGAATTCACTTTTTTCATCATGACTGGATTTTTCCTAGATTCTTAACTGTATTTTGTTCCCTGCAGTTTTATATCAGCTGACATGAGGGAGTCAAACCAGAAAACTTAATTTTCCTTCTTGAACTATTGGAGGATGTAGTGCATTGGGAAGTTGAAAATAAGTTTGCATTTTTGAGGGCTGAAGTGAAGGAAAGATCCCTACTAGGTGTTGTTTAAGACCAGTAAATGTTACTTGGTTTTCTTTGAATACATCTCAAGCAGTAGAGAACAGTTTATAGCATTTTATCTGGAGGATTTCAGTCACCCTCTTATGGAATCAGGGTTTTTATACAAGTTGCTTTTGATTTTTATCTTGGCTTTTAATAATCATTTTGCTTGATTGGTCACACATCTTAACTGTGAAACAGGTCTGTACTCATCACTCTTGGATTGTAAAGTGCTATGCTATCTTCCATGGTTACGAATATTTATTACGGTTGGAATGACATTTCATTGTTTAGATCACAACTCAGTTCCTGTAGATAATGAGCTGTAAAATTATCTGATGATCATGCAAGAAGCAAAATAAAACTTGAAGTGAACCTGTGTGGTAGTATACTGTGTCTTTTACTTCCTGTCTGCTGCCTACCTTCTTATGCCACGCCTACAAACAGGATTTGTCCTCTCCGAAGCTGTTCCAAGTAGAGACTGGATACTAAAGGCAGCCCTCCTCCCATTTCCACTAAAGAACTTAAAAGGCAAAAGCTCAGACAAATTAAGACTAGTTTTCAGCTAAGTCACCTAAAATTGTGGTAGGCATGCAACGGCAGTTACCAAGCTTCTGCTATATGTAGGTTAAGGGTTGTACATAAGCACCAGCTTGTACAAGCAAAAGGGATAAGATGGTAGGACGGAAGAAGTAGCCTAGTGGAATGTTCTGGGCTGATGGGGAGTTATTCAAAAGTGTGGGGGGGGGGGTAGGGCTGGGAAATGTGGCTTAGTATGTAGAGCTTGCCTAGCATGCCTGAAACCCTGGGTTAGATTCCTCAGTGCCACATAAGCAGAAAAAGCCAGAAGAGGCACTGTGGCTTACATAGAGTGCTGGCCTTGAGCTTTTGCTCAGGGACAGTACTCAGGCCCTGAGTAGTCCCCAGGACTGGCAAAAACGAAGTGTGAGGGTAGCTAGGAGCAGTAGGTGAATCCACATGTAAGCTACCAGGGTGTACTGCTACAATATCCTGACACCTGGATAGCTAGTCGCTAGGGCCATTAAGACACTCAGGTGGATGTAGGTAGGGGTTGTGGTACTAAACCATTTCTCTGAAACTTGCCACAAGTGCTGGCACAAGGCCGGCACCGTCCAGGGCGCCTCCCGAGGGGTTGAGCGGCTCCTTTAATGGGCGTGGCCGGAACTGGCCGGGGCGCCGCGTTCCGGACGTGTCGGGGCGTGGCCTGCAGACTCCTTACAGCATGGCCGCCGGTGCTGCTGCTGCTTTAACGTTCCTGAGCCCGGAGAGCCGAGTCCGGGCCGGGGGTGTCAGGGGTCAGCGGAGCCCGGCCCCGGTCACCATGGACAGTTTCTTCTTCGGTACTGGGGGAAGGAGGGGCTGTGGGTGGTTCTGGGGCGGTGGGCGGTTAGGGATGACGAAGAGCGCGAAGGTTTGCACCACGTGTGTGCGGAGCGGGGGGCTCCTGGTTCCGGGTGCAGAGAAATCCCTGCATGGCCGCCGGAGCCAAGGGGGCCGGGCGCCCCTGCCCGGAGCCCCATTCCTGGGGTCGCCAGGCCGAGCGTTGCTGGTGTCAAGGGACCAGCGAGGCCGGTGCGTCTCCGCCTGCCCACGGGGGAGGAGCTCAGGGTGTCGGCGGAGCCCCTCCCCGCCCTCCCACCCTCACGCCCACCCTCCTCTCTCTTCCAGGCTGTGAGCTCTCGGGCCACACTCGCTCGTTCACCTTCAAAGTAGAAAAGGAGGAGGATGCAGAGCACGTGTTGGCATTAACTATGGTGAGGGACAGGAGGGCACTTGGCGATGCGTGGACGTCCACAGGGCAACTACAGCGGCCCTTCCCATAGCTTTCGCGAGCTCCCTCATTGGGAGTTATCTCTCCCTAACCTCGAAGGCTGGGGCAGGTTCTAAGGGAGGAGGCTTTCCTTGTAATCTGGCCTTCCTGAGGAAACCCTAAAGCCTTGTATATACCATTCCCAGCTCTGCCTCACCGAGGGGGCCAAGGACGAGTGTAATGTGGTGGAAATTGTGGCCCGGAACCATGACCACCAGGAGATTGCAGTACCTGTGGCCAATCTCAAGTTGTCTTGCCAGCCCATGGTGAGTTCCCCAAGCATCTTTGGGGTAGGGCGGGGGGGAAACTGAGGACTGCTGTACCCATCGCTTGATCAAGTGGGCCAAGATTTCATTCTTGTCTTTCTCCCAGCTCAGTCTGGATGACTTTCAGCTTCAACCACCTGTGACTTTCCGGCTGAAGTCAGGCTCTGGCCCTGTACGGATTACTGGTCGGCACCAGATTGGTGAGAAGAGGGGTGATCTCTCTCTCTTTTGCCTTTAGTGGATTCTTCATCAGGCCTTCCCCCCAGTTCCACAATCCTATTCCATCCCAGCCTCTTCTCCCAGTGGGGCCCTGTCCAGTCCTGCATGTCTTTCTAGCTGTGCCTGGGAAGTGATGTGGCTTCTACTCTGTTCCATCTAAGCCTCCCTCCCTGAGCAACCTGCCTCAGTTCCTCCCAACTCCAGTGATGTGGACTCCTCTGGCTCTTTCTCCCCCAGTTTAGTATCTTGAGTTTCTTCCCACCTGGACCATAAACTATAGGCAAGTCAGGGGTCCCTGTCAACCTAGCATCACAGGGCATGTGTGACCTGTGTGTGTGTGGAAGGGGGAGGGGGGTTGCTTTAACTTCCCCCTCTATGCTTGTGGGTCCACTAGTTACTATAAGCAATGATGTTTCTGAAGATGATGAGAGTGAAGAGGAAGATGAAGAGGAGGAAGCTGAGTTGTCCCCTATCCTTCCTGCCAAAAAGCAGAAGGGCAGGCCCTAGCTCTCTTTGGTGAGTTGAAGGGAGAGGTACCTAGCAGAATTAAGAGCGGGGCAGAAGGAGCAGTTGAGGTTCTAGATGCTGACCTCTTCTTTTTTGCTCTTCTCAGGTCAAGTATCTGCCTGCTACATGTGCTACACACCACATTCCTGGACAAGTGTGAAGAACTGTAAATGTTTCTTCTTCATTGCAGAGGAGAGTGTAGGTCAGGACTTGGGTGGAAGAGTGGGGAATGGTGTTAGGATGGCCAGGGCAATCTCCATACGGCCTTGGTCCCACACCATGCCTATCTCTCCACTCCTCACGAGCATTGGAAGTCAGTATTTGAAGACCAGAACGACATATTTTTAAACTTTTTACATTTTTAGATAAATGTTTAAATAAAGTACTGATGGGGTTTTGCAACTTGTTTTGTGTGGCTTTTTCCCCATGCTGGAATATTTCCCTAGGGACCACCAGGTGGCACTGTGACAGCACAAAGGGTGGCCCTAGACTTGGAAGGTGAAAGAAATGTAGGTCCTAGGCCAGGACCAGGCCTAAGACTCAACGGCTTTGCTGAAAGGGGTGTGGGGGTGGCTCCCAATCCAGCTCTTCAGTGTCCCTCCAGGTGGGGGAGGGCCATCACAGGAGGTTATCAGCTTCCAAACAAGGGGTCTGGGCCTCTGTCAGCACTCAGCCTGATGGGCAGGGGGGCAGATAAGCGGGCTTAAGAAGCCTGAGGAATGTGCATCCTTAGCCCCATGAGGGGGCTCAGACCCAGAGAGAAGGCCTGTGAGGGGTGGGGTGGGGACCAGTCTTTGCTCCTCCAGTCTTTCAGGCAGGTTGAGCAGAGCTGAACTCTAGAAACCTGATTCCCAGGGCCAGATGGAGGGAATTGGCCAGATTGGGTGACAAGGAAACCAGAATCCGGGTGGCCTGGCATATGGGGACAGAAAGAGGCCCTTGGGAATCAGCCTCCTGGGCTAAAGGTTCCTGCTCCCCAGCACACCGCCTGGTGTTGGGGAGTTGGGGAGGGTCCCTGGAGTCAGGTGGTTCTGAGGCCACCTGATAGGTGTTCAACCTGTACACAGTGGGAAGGAGTGTGCATGTGTCCAGCTCTGGGGTCAGCAGTTCAGCAGCTGTGTTGGGGGGGTCAGTGCCCCACAAACAAACAAACAAAGGGTTACCTCTCCAGACAGCCTGGGGCCAGACAGGCTGAGGATGGACAGAGAACAGAGCAGGGGGGTCAGGCCAATCAGCTGCCCCATGAGTGGGCATGAGAGAGGGGCCCCTAGATAAGAAAGGGCTGGTCTTGGGGTAGGTGAGGGCGACTTCAAGTTTCTCCCACAATATGGAAAAGCAGTCCCTTCTCTTCACAAAGAGATTACTCCCTACCTTGGCAGTGTGTTAGGGGATCCAGTGATCAACTGAATTCCTTTTTGAGGGCAAAAGAAGATGCCCTCCTCTCTGTGTTGGATGATCGAGGTCACAGGTTGCCTCTCTACCCCAAGAGAACTTTTCCAAAATTCTACCACCACCAGCTTGTCTGGTTTGGAACCATTCACACGAATGAAGAGCAAAAGGAGCGGGGACGACGCCCTCTGGTGGCGGTTCTGTTCCCTAAGCAGCCTGTCCAAAGGCTTGTGGGCATGCGAAGTTGTCCCGACAGCGGAATGTTAGGCCCAGAGCTAGGGTGTCAGTCACTGAGGCTGGTAAGCATGCCTACAATCGCTCATTTATTCATTGGAAGGACTTGTGCTGGAGAGAGGAGTTGGGCGACGACATTCCCTTGGTTCCTCCTGGTGGCAGCCTCCGAGCCCCCGACGCGTGCTCAGTTGGAGGCACCCACTCACCTTTCCGGGCAGCCTTCCAGGACCAGCCGTCTGCCCCCCTCCAGCTCGTGGCCCCGCCCCGAAAGCGACCCCCTAGGACGCAGCTGATGGTCCATTGTATTTCTCCCCTGGTTTGCCGCTGGTCGTCCCGGCGCGGGCTGGCGGGCTGCGAGCGCGTTCCTGCCCGCAGTGGGGGCCCAATCCACATCAGCCTCCCTCCGTCTCGGAGTTGCCAGGCCCCATGTGGCGCCCCGTGCACAGACCTGGGAATTGCTTTTACTCCTTCCCGGATCTCACCTTTCCTAGATCCCCCTTTCTGCACCTTCAGCACAGTAGGAGAGCTGCCGACTCACACGAGGGCCTCCGAGATGAAGGTGCACGTCGGCGTTTCGAGACGGAGGGGGGGACTCCTCGCATGGGGGGGGGCGGCCCTCTCAGACGGGGTGCGAGGCGCGAAGCGCTGTCTCGGCGATTTGCATTTGAACTGTCTGCGGTCAGCGGCGCTTTGAACGCCGGGTGCGGGAGGCGCGCGTCGCAGCGAGGGGCAGTCGAGGTGGCCGGCCGCCGCTGGATGGCTTTGAGGGGCCTGGGACAGGTTGCGGGGCGAGCGGGGCGTTTGGGTTTCAGCGAGGGCGTGTGCGCGGAGGGAAACCGTTTGTGTTGGCGACAAGTGTGTTTGTGTTTGTAGGTGAGGGAGTGTGTGTGTGTGTGTTTGCGCAGTGTGTGGGGAGGGTGGCGGGGAAAGGTGGCCCGGCTGTCACTCAGCGATCAGGTTGACAGGCACTCCCTCATCTGGGCCCGGGAGCTCTGATTGCAGATTCGAGGAAACAAAATAGCAATTGTAATTACGGGGCTTTGATAAGATAAAGGAGCGAGGGAGCTGGCCGGCCGGCGAGCGAGCCGGGGAGGGAGGGAGGCCGGAGCAGCCCGCGGGGGCCCAAGCGGAACATTTGCATCTGTCAGTCACGCAGCCTACTCCCACCCGAACCCAGCGCCTGCTGCCACTGCAGGGGTGACCCACCCGTCCCCGTTCCCCAGAGACACGGACTTTGGGGGACAGGGTGAAGTGGAAACAAACTGTTAGTGAAGATCCAGCTCGTGGGAATTTCTGAATGTAAAGGAATTTGGTCCCTCAGAAACCTGTGGCATGGGTTAGGAGGGGTACCAGAACTGCACTCGGACCCTTTAGGTCTCAGGATGGGGGGGGGGGGGGGAGAAGAAGGCTTGTGAAGATGATTAAGATTCAGTCCAAGATCCTTCGAACCTTCTGGGGGCTCCAGAAGCCAGGTGAAAGGCTGCTCTGAATCACCCCACCCTCACCCCCCACTCTAGACCCTGTCTACGCTACTAGACAGGATGGCTGCCTTGGCCTCTCCCCCGGTCCCTATTCTGCTCCTCAGACTTATTTCCAGAGGGTGGTGGTATCCATGTTGGGGAGGACTTTCCCTTTCAGGAAGTGTCCATTCTCGTGTTTGCATTTCTCCATCCATCCATCCATTCAAATACATACAAAGATAAATATTTTTGAAGGCCTGCTATGTTCATGGCATGAGGTAAAGACTGAACAGACATCTTTGCCAGCATGGAGCAATGCGGAAAGGCAGACAAGACGTCATGGGACAGACCTCTAGACAGAGCCCAGTGAAAGAACAGGCGTGTCTAGGCTGCGGTCACTGAAGCCCACCTGCCCTATTTCCTCGTGAAGACTCCACTTCTCAGTGGGGTTGAAAGGAGACAGCACCTCGCAAACCTTTAACACATAGAAGCGCTCAAGAAATGTTTAGACTTACTATCTGCTGGTGGGAAGGGAAAGGGGTTTCCCTGTGGATGTTAATCAGGGACTGAAGTCTAAATGCTCAGCCAATTTCTTCATCATTCATTCATTCATTCATTCATTCATTCATGCAAATAACTGCAAAGCAACTCCATCCAACTCTGTGCCACAAACTGCAACACCTTAGCTAGTTAAGATGTCGCCCTTGCCTGCAGGTCTGTGTGGGCCAGAGGCAAATGACCAGACTAAGGAGAGGGAAGCAGGCGGGTTCAGTTCAAGGCGTCTTTTTTTTTTTTTTTTTTTTCTGAAGAGGAATGAAGAGAGACAAGCCCCCAAACTCTTTTCCTTTCTATCAACTGGTCAGGGTTCGCACTTATGGCTGGGAGGAGGACAAGGTGGACACACAAAAAGAGGAGTAGGCAGCCCCTGGCTGTGTTGCCTGCCTTCCTCTGACCTAGTAGCTTCCTGGGGCTCCTCCAGCTCCTCCAGCCCAAGCCAAGGGGCATGGAGGACCAGTGGGGAGGAGACTGTGGGCCAAGGCAGCAACAGGGTAGGACATCCATGGCTCTAGCTGTTCCAGAAATACTGGTCGTAGACACTCCTACCAGCTCAGACAGTTCCCGCAGAAGCAAAGTTGTGGCTCAGGATTTCCAGAAACTCAATGAGGTGAGAGACTGAGAACGACTTAGACCACCAGTCCTTGCCTTCGCCATGATATCCAACCCTTCTCCCCGCCCTCCCCTCAGGTGACACAAGGCCCCAGCTCTTGTCTAGTGCAGGAGCGTCAGTTCTTGTTAGGGGGGGAAAGGGGGATGGGGGGGGGCTGATGGCCTGGATGGAAGTCCCTTGCCCAAGAAAAGCCGGCGAGGGTCCTTTTTGCCCCGGTTGTCTGCAGAATTTTCGGTGGGCGCGGGGGCTGCCCGAAACATCTGGGCTTTTCCTTCCTGTCCGGTGGCCCGTGAGTCGGTTCAGGCTTCGGGCTAGTGAGGCTGGGGTGAGGAGGGAAAGGGGTAGGGTTGATAGTGATAATGGGGTGGGGGGACCCGGAGGCTCCTTGGAGATGGAGTGAGGCAGGAGTACCACGCGGGGCTGGGTAGTTAGCAAAAGTTGGGGAGTCGGGTCCCGCGTCGGCGAGACACGCTCTGCGCGCGGCCCTTCGTGCCAGTCAGTGCCAGCGGCCGCTGGCCAGGGGCGTGCGGGGCGAGCGCACAGTAGGTGGCCCAGACAGCGGCGGTGAAGCCAGGGCACAAACACGCGCGTGCCCCCCGCGGGGAAGGAGCACCAGGAGGTCCCGCAAGTCGGGCCTAGGGTCTCCGGACCCCACGGAGCACACTGCCCCTAGGCGCCCTAATCCTGCGTGTCCAGACCCCCCCCCCCGGGGAGCGCGCGAGGGGACAGACCTCGGGGTTGGGGGAGGCGCCAGACCCCTCCCCTCGCCCAGACCCCCCCCCAATCCCAGACCCGCCCCGGGCCGCCCCGCCCCCGCCCCCGGGCTGCGACCCGGCCCCAGCTCGCAGCCGGGGGCTGCGGGCTCCGCTCCCCCCCCCCCTCGCGCCCGGTGCGGCGTCCCCCGCCCCACCCCTCCCCCTCCCTCCCCACCTACCCACCCACCCCGCCGGCCCGTTACCCTCCCGCCCGCTCCGGCTCCTGAGCAGCCAGCGGCCACCGGCTCGGGCAGCGGCGCAGAGCGGAGCGGCGCGCGCGCGGCGAGCACGACGTTCCACGGGACCCGCGGAGCCGCGTCGCGATCGCCGCTGGGCCCCGCACCCGAACCTTCCCCGGCCGCCGCCCCCTTGGCTTGTCCACCTCCACCCCCACCACCACCACTCCCACCCACCTCCCCCCCCCCCCCGCGGCCGCTCGCGGGACGGCGCGATCCCGCCCAGGCGGCTCGGTGCCCCCGGGGCCGCACGCCATGGGCAGCCCTCGCTCCGCGCTGAGCTGCCTGTGAGTACCGCCGCCGTCCCCGCGCCCCCGCCGGCCCGCGCCCGTCGCGCCCGCCGCTCACCCGCCCGCTTTTGTCTCCCACAGGCTGTTGCACTTGCTGGTTCTCAGCCTCCAAGCCCAGGTAAGGGGCGCTGCGCAGAGCCGGGGGCCGGGCGGGCCGGGTCGGGTCGGGGGGCTGGAGGACCGACTCTGCGCCCAGCGCAGCGGGGCTGCTCGGAACCTTAGCGACCCTGCCCCGAGCTGCCCCGGGGAGGGAGCGAAGGAACAGAGTGGTAGAGCGCTGCCTAAGGTCACACAGCGAGTGAGGGACGCGATTGGAGCCCGAGGTTTTTGAGAGCGGGCGCAGACGAGCCGGGGAGGGTGGACGGCAACGCTCGGAGCAGCCACACCTGGCCTCTGAGTTGGGGGACAGCCGGAGCCGGGGCGGGGGGCACGGGGGCATCTGTCACCGGGGCAAGTCTGGGCGCAAAGACCCTTTCCGAGGCCTTCTGGGGGAGACTTGTGATCGATCGGTTCGGCCCCAGGATCGGGTACCCAGGTCCTCTGCGCTCTCCGCGTTTGCCCCCTCAAGTTTGTCGTTAGAAATGTCATGGGTGGGGTCCAGCTGCCCCCCTTACTTAAAAGCACCCTGCTCCTCTAGGAAGGCCCGGGCGGGGGGCCTGCGCTGGGCAGGGAGCCCGCTTCCCTGCTCCGAGCTGGCCGGGAGCCCCAGGGTGTTTCCCAACAGGTGGGTCCAGCGTCTCCCTCATCCCGGGCTCATCCATCCTGGGCTGGGTCTTCGGGACTCCCTCGGGTGGAGGCGGGGGCGCGGGGGGGGGGGCGGGCGGCGGAGCTGGCATGTTGGGAGGGTTCCCCCTCAGTCCCTGCTGACTGCCTGACGCAGCGGGAGGGGGAGACAGGGTGTTGGGGGGCCACTCGGGCCCCTGGGCGGAGTAGCATTATAATGGCGTGCTGTGTATTTTTCAATTTCCTAAAGGTAACTGTTCAGTCCTCACCTAATTTTACACAGCATGTGAGGGAGCAGAGCCTGGTGACGGATCAGCTAAGCCGCCGCCTCATCCGGACCTACCAGCTCTACAGCCGCACCAGCGGGAAGCACGTGCAGGTCCTGGCCAACAAGCGCATCAACGCCATGGCAGAAGACGGGGACCCTTTCGGTAAGGCGCACGGCCCGGGCACCACCTCTGAGGAAAGGTAGCTTGTGGCCGCCGAGGCTGCCACCCTCCCCTGCACTGGCCAGAGGCCTGCCTGCTCCCCACCCCAGAAGGGAAGGAGTTAAGAAGGCTGAGAGCCTCGATGGCCAGCTGGAGAAGACCCAGGGGAAGCGACTTGGCCCACAGGTGCCCCCCTTCCTGCCCAGCAGATAAAAGCATCCAGGACCCCCCCCCCCCCACACACACCATAATACACCTCTACCCAGCTGCAGGTGAGGCAGAGGGCTCCAGGGAGGGCCTCCCCCCAGTTTAAGGGAAGCTCTTGAAAGAGGATCCAGTGGCTAGGGTCCACAAAAGGTGAGTGGGAAAGAGAAAGAAGAGAAATGTTCCCCGCCCCCACCCCCACCCCCAGACCTCTCATCTTGGCAAAAGGAGATACTGTGAACCTTTATGTTCTTTGATCAGAGGGTTCAGTTGCACACGGGGGTCGGCCTGGAAGGGATCGCTCTGGGCTCCACTGGGCGACACCCCAGGCGGCTGCCGGCGGTTCCCGGCTCCCTGTGGGGTGGTGAGTACTAGGAGCTACTGCAGGCAGAGACCCCGGGACTGATTGATTTCTAAAACATTCAATATTCCTGCCTTGAAACGTGGCCAATTTCCAGACTTGTGGATGTACCAAGAGAAAAGCAAGCCCTCTGGGCGGCTGGTGTTGTTTTTAGAGAGCGATTATTGTGAGTTTCAAACCCTTTAAATAATGACCAAGTTAAACAAGCATGAAAGGAGAAAGGAAGACTCTATTAAAATGCAATAAAAAGGTGAGGCATTTTAAGAGCTAAGAAGAGAAATGAAGAATGATATAAAACAGCAAAAAGAACAAGCCCCCCCTCTTTTTTTCAGATGTGGAGTTTAAAAGGAGTTGCAAGTCTGTAAATGTTAAAAAAAAAAAGAGAGAGAGAGGTTCAAGATTGTTCTCTATGAATCTCTAGAGAGACCCCCGCGTCTGGCAGAGCGATTAAAACTCTTCTTACTTTCACCTTTTTTAACATTTCCTGAATACTTTCTCCTCTTCTCTAGCCAGTTTTGGGGGATCGAGTATGTCTCGCTGCATTTTTTGTGCATGGACGTAGCTGACTTCCCTTCAAAGCTGGAGGAGGAGACATAATTTTCCTGGGATAAATCTGTCACTGGGGTGGAAGAATAGGTTTGAAAATGTTAAGCTTTCCAAAAGCCCGGTTAGGAAAGGCTCTATATGCTGCCGCCCCAGCTCCCCAGCTCCCATCTGTGAAGGGAAGGAGAATGGGGGGCTCTCTGGGTGGGGGTGGGGACAGCCTGCCCGGTGGCCCAGTTCCCCTGCTGGGCTGGCAGAGCCGGCCTATGGACCCTTTGTCCCTCCAAATTGGCTGCTTGCTGCCCTTCTCTGCTGCAAGGAAAGGAACGAGTGTCTGGCTCCTTCAAGGTTTACTCTACTGGAGCAAATGGCCCAGAATCCTAGGATTTTGAGGAAGGAAGGAGAGATCAAGCGAATGGGGATGGCAGTGGGGGGAGTTGTCTTCAGACAGCAGAGGAGGTTTGATGCCCACTTGTCTCCTTAAACCCAGAGTGCTCCGTACTCCCTTCCTAAGAACAGAGGTGTTAAGATGTGCATCCAGGACAGATAGAGTGTGGGGAAGATAATGGAGATGTCCTGATTGCTTCGCAAGGGTCCAGGAAGAGACAGAGGCACCCACTTAGTCCTTACCTGCCCTCTTATGACTTACTGAACTAGGGTCTTTCCAGACCCTGAAAAGAAACCCCTCCTGGCAGACCCAAAAGGGATGAGCGGACTTACTGGGTCCAAAAGGGAGTGAGTGGGAAAGGAGTTGCAAGTTGCATTTCCCAAGTTAACTTGGCGCCAGACAGGGGGGTAGGTGGCTAGGTCCTGTCTCTGGGCCTATTTGAAGTGGGAGCTGGTCACAGACTGGGCAGGAAGGGCTGCCCACCCTGCTGAACTCAGTGCCCTCTACCCTTGGTGTTGGTTTTAGAGACAGAACTGTGTGAGAGCTGAGTCTCCAAACTGCTTTCTTAAAAGGGAGGGCAGAAGCCTCAGCTCCTCTGTCTTAGGTTTCCCTGTGTCTGTCTCTATGTCTATCTCTGTCTCTGTTCTCTCTCTCTCTCTCTCTCTCTCTCTCTCCACAAATGGCCTCTAAGAAAGCAGTTGCATAGAGTGGTGGCAGGGACCCACTTCTGGGGGCAAATTGGCTGTCTAAGGAGGGGGGGGGCTAGGAAGAAGGCACAGAATTGTCTCCTGGCTTCAGGAGCTCAGGATGAGGCAAGCCGGCCTGGTAATTGGGTGGGAAGCCCAGCTGTGCTGGAGGTTAAAGCGAGAAGATGACTGAGTTGTTGATGTCTAGACTATGAGGCTGGTCCTGGTCACTGGGAAGCCAAGAGAAAGATGCAGAAGCTTCTCAGCTGATGTCTGAGTTTCTAGAAAGCAAATTGGTTTTGGGCTGAGGCTGTGTGTGCAGGGAGAGCTGTTTTCATCTCAAAGAACAGGGCTCCCAGAAAGGTAAAGGTAAGGTTCAGGGTAGATTGGTCAAGGCTGTGAGATCAGGCCAAGGTGGCAGGGACAGGAGAGAATGCTTTTCCTATTAGCTGCAAGATGAGGTAAACACTATACCTAGATGTTCACCTGCAAGGCATGAGCCCAGAATATTCTGAGTTGGAAGGATCTTCAGAGATCTTTTGGTTAGCTATGGAACTATAGTCAGGTGAAATGTTACTTTGAACCTTGACCTAAAAGTTCTTACCGTCTAGGCCCAGAAGTGGGAACTGAGGACCAGAGAAGTGACTCCACCTTTCTCATGACTGCCCAGTGCATGATAGCACCCACGATTTGGGTTCCTGGCCCTTGGAATGGTTACCATTGGGGCCAATGGGGATAAGGCTATGGACCAGAGGGCCCAGGGACCTTCTAGTGACCATCCTGCATCTTCTCCGACAGCAAAGCTCATAGTGGAGACTGATACCTTTGGGAGCCGAGTTCGAGTTCGGGGAGCTGAGACTGGGCTCTACATCTGCATGAATAAGAAAGGGAAGCTGATTGCCAAGGTGAGCCCCCACCACCCCAAAGGAGGTGATCCCTGGGACTTTGGGGGGGAGGGTGGTGGCCTGGGCTGCCTGAGCTCCTCCAGAACACTCTTGAGCTCTGATCTCAATAAGGTGGACAGAGGGAGACATGGCCACCTCTGGGTTACCTAATGATGGGTTGTGAATAAGGAGAAGAAAACTGCTGGAGAGACAAAAAGCTATCAAGACAGGAGAAAGAAGGAAGGCTAGAAAAGGGGCTGGGGGGGGGGGGAGGTTGGTAAATTCCATATATCTTTTTAACAAATCGCCAAATTGCTTTGCTATTATGTCCAATTACATGGTACCAGCATTTGGAATGTTCAGAAAGCCGCAGGCCCAGCCCCTCTGCAGAGCTCTGAAATGGACCCATTAGTCACGGCTCCTCTCCAGCCTGGAGCTCCCCTCTTCCAGGGCTTGGGGGCTCAGACTGACGTCCTAGGCCTCCCCTCCCCCATAAGGTGGCTGCCCTGGGGCCTCCAGAGCTGGACGTCCTGAGGGGCTGAGGTGTGTTTGTGTGTGAGGGGGGTAGGTGGGGAAACTCAGCCAGACTGATGGGCAGGAGGCCAGAGCAGAGCTCGGCTCCCTGCCTCTCTGCCTCGTGCCCAGCCCCTCCGTAGACAGCCATGTGTCACTGCTGCCCAGGAGGACAGGAAGTTGCCGGGTGGGCTGCTGGTTGTAAGGGATTAGAGGGCGGGTGCCTGGGCAAGGGGTGTGGCCAAGCTTCTGCCCCCCTCACCATCTGCTGGGGTGCCCACCTGCTGTCTGGGGCCGCTGGCCCGCTGCCTCCCGGGGGAGGGGGAGCTCTGTAACACCGCAGCTGGCCCCTCTACCTGCAGAGCAATGGCAAAGGCAAGGATTGCGTGTTCACGGAGATCGTGCTGGAGAACAACTACACGGCGCTGCAGAATGCCAAGTACGAGGGCTGGTACATGGCCTTCACCCGCAAGGGTCGGCCCCGCAAAGGCTCCAAGACACGCCAGCACCAGCGCGAGGTCCACTTCATGAAGCGGCTACCACGGGGCCATCACACCACCGAGCAGAGCCTGCGCTTCGAGTTCCTCAACTACCCGCCCTTCACGCGCAGCCTGCGGGGCAGCCAGAGGACTTGGGCCCCGGAGCCCCGATAGGCCTGCCAGGCTCCTCCCCATGGCCCCGCAGCCCAACCTACTCTTGGGAAGCCCGTCTTTAGGAGCACCAGAGAAAACTCCAGCAAGAGGAGGGTTGGCTGAGAAGGCTGAGGAGGAGCTGGGGAGCTGCGGTTCTAGTTGTTGATATTGTTTGCTGTTGGGATTTTTTTTTTTTAACCAAAGAGAGGCTCTATTTTTGTATTCCATTGGCTGTGGTGTCTTGTCTTCTTAGTGCCCAGGCATGCCCATCAATGGCCTGCACTGGGTTCCTGGGGTAGAGGGCTCTCTGATCTGACAGAGGTACTCCTGAGAACAGACACCCCAACATTAGCAGAGCAACTGGCCAGGCAGCTGAGAAACCTTTGCACCCCAGGTTGGGCCAGGGGCAGTTCCTTAGGGATGGGTACAGTGAGGGCAGTTGTGTACTAGTTGTTATTAAATGATTGAAATGCATAACTTGCATATTAGGAACATGAGTTGGAAAGAGAGTCTTCCTGGGGCTAGTCTTGTTTCTCTGCTCTTCCCATCAACTGGCTCTGTCACCTCCTTCCAGCTCTGCCTGTCAGTGGTCCCCATCACTTTCCTATGGAGGGACTTATTTGGTGGGAACAGAGCTGGGAAAGGGGCCAGAAGAGACTCTGAGCTGGTCCTAGAGTTCTCAGGGACTGCATGGCTTAATGGAGTCACTGCTAACATGTCCCAGGCTACTTCTGCCAGAAGGGTGATCAGACTCAGGCCTGGGCTGTGATCCATAGAAAGGCAACATTTTACGGGAGCGCCTATTTTGACCTGCCCAGTGTATGAGAGACTTAGGTGGGAGATTCCAGAAGTAGTTCTTTCTGAGAATCAGGCTCCAAAAAAAGAAAGAAAGAAAGAAAGGAAAATAGCAGCTGCCAGGTTCCAAGGTGAGGAGAGTGTTTTGAAGGAGACTGCCAGCTTGGAGCTGATAACTGTGCTGTGGAACAAGTGTTAACTTTGGGATGTCTGGGCTGAGAGAGTGAGCAGAAAGTATTAGGCTCAGGTGCAGTGCAAGAAACCAGGGCACAATTGTCCAGGAAGAGATTGGCCTCAGGCAACAGGCCTAAAGGAAGAAGATCTGGGCATGGATGAAATGGGAAAGGAGGCTTAAGGGCCAGAGCAGAAGCCAAGCCAGTCATGGCCCAAGGGAGAAGCAAAAAGGCAAACATAAAGACCAGTCTGGCTGGGCCCTGGTGGCTGATACCTTTAATCCCAGTTCCTTGAGAGAATGAGATCTGAGGTCTGTGGTTCAAAGCCAGCCCAGGCAGGAAACTCTGTGAAACCCTTATCACCAATTAACCAGCAAAAAAGCAGGAAATGGAGCTATGGCTCAAGTAGTAGAGTTCTAGCCTTGAACACAAAAGCTCAGGGGCAGCAGCTAATCCCTGAGTACAAGCCCCAGGACCAGCACACACTGACACACAAAGCCTGGCTGAAAGGACAATTCTGTGGAAGGAAAATCAGGCCATGCCTTAGTGCAATGAAGGAATGGCCATGGTGTGGGGCACATAGCATGTTTGCATATGGCTCCATGCGATTCATATCACATAGCATGTTTGCATATGGCTCCGTGCGATTCATATCGCTCACACCAAGGGAGAGATTGGTCCAAGAGCAAGTCTCCTGAACCCAGAGCCGCTCTAGTTTACACAATTGAGATCGTTCAAACCTGCTACTTCCTCTGTTGTTGAGGGTCCCTATTGTTACTCCCAGCTACTGGCCTGGTTCATCTAGAAACTTCTTCCCTGTCGGCAACTCACTTGTCATGGGTGGAAGCAACCAAAGGCTTCCTAACCATTGGGCCTCCCACACCTTCAGCCCAAGTCCCAGGTTCAGCCCATCTAATAGATCAAAATCCCAGGGCAAAGTGGAAAGCCTGCAAGGTTGGGGATACCATGGGCTCTGTGTGCCTCCTTCTTGTGGCCTGCAGGAGAGGGTGAGGCACTCTGGGTAGAGAAGGGTTGTTCTGATACGGGGACCCTGGGGATGTGGGAAGGGGCTTTAGACATCTCAGTCCCAGCTCCCCCAGCTCTTGGTGCCTCCTCCTCTTCTGCTCCCCTCCCCCTTTAATTAATTCTGGGTGAGCAGCCTGGCTTTATTGTGCAAGGAGCTGGGGTCTCACTGTGGGAAAAGTCACACCTTCTGAGCAGCTTCTGATGCCATGCAAATGAAGAGACCGTCCAGGAAACGCTTTCATCTGCACGGTCGCCTGTCCAGCCCCCAGCCCAGTAATTACCCACATTTCATTTGTTTGAGAGCAATTCCTGGGGGAAGCCACAGGGTGGGAGGGAGTGGGGGGGGGGGGTAGTGGAATGTCATGCTGCCCGCCTGTGATCCTGGCCACAAAGTGGGGCTGGCCTGGGCCAAGGCTGGTGGTCACTGGCTAGGCCAAAGTGAAACCTCAAGCTCCAGGCTGAGGAGGCCCAAGTCCTTGGGGATGCTGGAGCAGAGTGGAGTTGGGCTGTGTTTGTGTCTAGGGAAAAGACATGAGCTGTGCAGAGTTAAAGCTGCCTTGGAGAGAGGAGTGGAATGGCCAGTAGGGGAGTGGGAGGAAAGGTGGCTCAGAGGGGGCAGAAGCTGCTCTTTGAGACTGCCCGAGGCTGACTCTAGAATGTCCCGAGGCCTGTTAGGAGGAGGAGGCTGGGCTGGAGCACCCACCAATTTGTTTATCTTTGAGTTGCTGCCTCCACAGAGCCCTCACTAATGGGGTTTTACAGCCCACTCAAGCTGCAACTGGCCAAGAATCAATCATTACCGGCACTTAGTGGTTTGATAGTTAACAGCCTGAACTGAAGCCAAACTGGTTGTTAACTGTGATAACAACTGATTTCAAGGGGTTATTGCCGGCCCAATATGCTCAGCCCATTTATTTCGGGTAAAACAAGCAGGGTTCTGTGGCAAGGCCTTGAAAAAGGAGGAGAATCAGGCTACCCTCAGCCAAAAGGCTGGCCGCCCTGTCTCTGAGTTGGTGCTGGCTGTGAGGAATAGGTACTGGCTGAGGCCTGCGGACCACCCAGCCCTCTCTGAAGGCTGTGTGAAGCCATCAGCCGCCCTGACCACCCTCTCCAGTGCATCCTGCTCCACCATTCCTGCCTCAATTTCCCTCCCCACCTGTCCTCTGACAGCATGCTTCCCATGATGCCATCATGAGGATGCCATCACGAGGACACCCCCATGAGGAAGAGTATAGCCTAGTGTCCAGTCCCCACTTGTCCCCACTGAGCAGGTGGGTCTGGTTCATTTACCTCTCTCACTCAGGGCTCCCAGATCCTTGCCAAGTCCAAAGCAGAAATTTGCCTGTCATTTCAAATCAGCAAAGATCCAACCTTGGTCTCAGAAGGAAAGACAGCTCTCTCCTCCCACTCTGCACCACGCTCTGTCTATTTCTCCAACTTCAGGCCAGATGGAAGCAGGTGAGGTTATTTTGATCAAGCATCATTATAGAATGCTGCGATAAAGGACCTCGGGACTTTTCCATTACTGACAGATGACAATCTAAGGACCAGATTGTCGTTTGACACAACTAATGTCCGAGCTAATACTAGAAATCAGGCCTCTATTCTTTACCACTTGAGGACTATATTTCCGTTCCTTTATTCCTTCCTTCATTCAATAAATGTTTATTGTGTGCTCATCTGAGCCAGGCTCTATTCTGGGCAGAGCCAATACAGCAGAGAATAAGAGACAAAAAAAAAAAGAAAGAAAGAAAAAGAAGAAAAGTCACTGTCATTATGAGCTAGTTTTCCAGTGAGTGTAGGAGGGTACAGTTATCAGGCACTGAGAGCTACTAGAAAAAATTCAGAAGCTGAATGCTAGTGGCTCATGTCTATAATCCTAACTATTCAGGAGGCTGAGATCTAAGAATCAGGGTTTGAAGCTGGCCTAGGCAGGAAAGTCCATGAAGCTCTTATTTCCAATTAAACACTCTTCCAAAAAAAAAAAAAAATAGCTGGAAGTAGAGCTGTGGTTCAAGTGGTAGAGTGTGTCAAAAAAAAGCTAAGGGGACAGCAGCATCTAGGCCCTGAGTTCAAGTCTCACTACCAGCACACACACACACACACACACACACACACACACACACACACACACACACACACACACACACACACACACACACCAGTCAGGAATAAGTATAACAGGCTAGAACCAGTCTAAATAGGGTGATCAAAGAAGGCTTCACTGATAATTTAGTGTTCAAGCATTCGCCTACCTGATAGGGGTGAGGCATTCAGGTTCAGGGGGCCAAGGTAGAAGAATAACCAATGAGAGGCTTATTGCATTGGAGGAATAGAAAGAATGCCAGAGTGGCTGGATCAAAGTGGAGGGAGAATTAGGCAGCTGTACTTGGGGGGTGGAATGGGGAGGAGAGAAGCCAAAGGGAAGGTACAGAGATGGCAGAGGTGGTGGCTAGTAGCCGATCATGTCATGGAGGCCATTGAAAAGTTTCCGCTTTACCTCAGTGTTCCGAGCTGCAGCAGAATAACATGAAGGAAAGGAAGGTTTAACAACCTCTCCTTGGCTGCTGTGTTGAGAAGAGACAGTGTAGGATAGGCTGTTAAGGGGGACAGGCTATGAAATTACTTGAATAACTTAGGTGAGAGACACTAGCGGATTATAATAGTGGTGAGAAGAGATGGGGGTTTTGGAACTGTTTTTCAAGTAGAAATGACAAGATTTGCTGATGGGCTTGGATGTGGCCAGTGTGGGAAGGAAAGGAGTCTAGGAGTTGCCAAGGTTTCTGGCTTGAGCCAGAACGGATGGAAGTGCCATTTGCTGAGGTGGATAAGATTCCAGGCAGGGCAGGTTGAGAGGGGAGGAGTGGGAGTTTTGGACATGTGGATTTGAACTGACTCAATATTTCAGGAGTGGTGAGTGGGCAGTTTTGTGGGTCTGGAATTCAGGGGTGAAGTCTCATGAGAAGCTAGAAATTGGGGAGTGTTAAGCTCACAGGTGATTTTCAAAGCTAGGAAATGGAATGGATT